TATTAAATAAATATATTATAAATATAATATAATATAATTATAATATCATATTACATAATAATATTATAATATTATAATTATTAATATAATTATTATATTATTTGTTACAATATTACAACTATATTGTATTACATCATATTATTGTATTATTATATTATATTATATATATTATATTGTAATATTATTATATATTATATTATAAATATGATGATTACATTATAACATAAAATATATTGTTATGGAATATTAAATAAATATATTAAATTATATCATAATATTTTTATTCTATATTATATTATGAGATAACTATTATATAATATGTTGTAATTATATTATAATATTCAAGGGTAATTATGAAAAAAAAAAAAAGAGTTTAGAATGGGTATTCCTTTCACGTGAGGAAAGAATAATAATTCACTCAAAAATGGTGAATGGTCATTCTTTTTTAATACCATTCATTTTTAATAAATCCAACTAAACATCATATTTGTATTCCATTCTATTAGGGAGAGAATATGAATGAAAGAAGGAAGTTGGTTTTCCGATATCTTTTTTAGTGATGTAGGAGGAAAGAAAATGTGTTCAACTAGTATTATCTAAGTTCAAAATAAAGATAAAAGGTAATTTAACTATTTATTATAACAAATTTTCCTTCGAAGATCCCCTTCACAATAACAACAGTAGAACCCATGGATCCTTTTATATCTCCACTTTTTTTATCCCTTAAAACTTTTCCTCCTACCAAAAACAACCTACAATTCCATTTTCTTTTAAGAATCACTCCTATTTTCTTTCCACTCCACTACATGCGTCACATTCGAATACTTTTGATTTATTTTCCCTAATCTTCACTATTCTCCAGAGTAGGTGAAGATGAAAACTTAATAAATGTACGATCAGTTCGATAGTAACAGTAAAACCAAAATTACTCAAAAGAAATCACAAGTATTTCATGGAAAAGATGTAGAACCAAAAATATGCCTGGAACAGAGTTTATAAATGGAATTATTAGGCACGACCACTGGGAGGATTATGGGTTTGTAGGTGTGCTGCACATTAAATCAAACCTACTTCACAGACGAAAGAAGACGCTATGTGAATTTCACAAAGGACCACTTTCTTCAAAGTTACACACGGTACTGAAGATAATTGACGATCAATCACAACTTCATGAGTTCGAAATCGGAAAGTCGATATCGATGTACAATCATATTCACAGGGATATACATATCCAGTTATGTAAAAAGTCCAGTTGTATCCTAGAATTTCACTTCCTTCCACCAACCATACTTTGGCCAGAAGTCCCTGCCAAGCCAGACGATGCATTGCCACTTGCACTGCCAAATACATTTAGATCTTCAAACAATCTGTACGAAGGAATAAAAGGCTTTTGTGCTGCTGGAGGGGCAGGGTTTCTAGCATTGGGTGCGGCTACCCGTGATTCTCCATTAATAGCTAGCCCATTTTCTCTTGCTGGGAAAGAATTATAATGCTGCAAGGGTTGACCACTCTGAGCTGGTGTATAAGACACAGTGGTGTTGGTTTGTACCGGTCTATAAGATGTCTTGGTATGAGTCGCAAATGCATTATTTGTGGGGAAATGACTCTGACTGCTGTAATAACCAGGTGTAGCAGCCCAAGGCGGAGGGGGATAACCGGATGAGTAAGTAGATGGTTGCGGTTGTACAAGCGAGGAAGCTTGAGGTTGTACGTGCGAGGAAGGTCGAGGTTGCACATGAGAGGAAGGTTGAGGTTGTACATGCGGGTGGGCTTGAGCTCGTGGTAGAGGTTGCGGCGGGGCTTCAGGTTGCGTTTGTTGGTGAGGTTGTGCCCATGGAGCAACATAGCTATTGTACGGTACCTGACCCTGAATTCCAGAATAAGTTTGTGAAGCATGGGGAAAAGCTTGTGTGCTGGCAGATACAGGCACCTGATGCATGTTTTGGTTAGAAGGTGGAGTGTGGGGGGTGAGGGGGGAGGCTTCTGTTGTCGACAAGGTAATGCTCAGTAAGTCAATTATGTCCTGCTCTTTGGTCTTAACCGGTGCAGGTGGATCAGGGAGAGCTAGTGCATTGCTCATGGCTGATGTGGAAGCTGCTGGAGTAGACGTTGAGCTGCTCACACTCACGATTGCCAGACCTTCAGTGGTGCCATTAGAAGTGCTTTGCGGGGCTGTGGATAGTGCTTTAGAATGCCTGCATTCATAAACAAGCTGAATAATTACAAATCTATACGAAATATTAAAATATGGATCGCAGCATGAGCTTGCTCATAGGAAATAGGTTAGGTGCTCCTTTAGGAATAGAAATCTACAAGCCCAGAAGATAATTTGATTAAAATTTTCGGCTGCCCTATACTAGCATGACGACTTGCAAAATATTTCTAGGCACCAACCTATAGGAGATGCTCACCTTGATTTTAATAGGGAAAAGTTGGGGACAAATACAAAATAATGTGGATGATAAGAATGACCAAAATATAAATAAAACGAATAATTAAAGAGATCGAAGTGAAGTAGCAAGAGACCTTCGAGCTAGTTGTGCAAATTCATCTTCCTCTTCTTCTTCTTCGTAAATCTGGCTCCTTATCAGAGTAGTAACAGGTGCAGAAGGGCTAACATTTGGTCTTGGACTGAAATCTCTTGGACTAGAATCTTTTACTTCCGCCTGTTTGATGCTAGAGGTACTTGTCTTAGTTCGTTGAGGACTAGAATTTGTAAGTTGAGCTGGCAAAGGGGAACCAGCAGCTATTGCATCATGTTTTGCAAGTAAACTTTGGAGACTGTCATTTAGTTCAAGACCCTTAGCAAGAAGTTCCTCGTCCCTGCCACATGGAAAGACGATGGTGTGAGAGCCCCCCATTTTGTACCAGCCCCAATGCAGGGTATGTGGACATGCATAACGATGTTCATTCCCACAGAAACAGCATAACATGCAATCATATAATGATTTTATGCCTTCGACAATAAATATCCTGAATGCATGGAGGAAACCAACCCAGTTGAAGTTAGCATTTGCATCAGCTTTTTCTGGTTTGCACGGCAGCGGTTAACTAGCTCAACTATCACTTCATCTTTTATAGCCTAGAAACAAAAACAGAACTGGTTAAACCCAACAGACCATCTGGTTAGTTTCATTGCTAAGTTACTTTCATTACAGAGGTAAAGAACATTGCTCATACCGTGCAATCACTAGGATTAACAGCTTGCAGCATGTCACCCAGGAGTTCCAAAACATTCCGCATAGCTTCAATACTTGACAAGCTTTTAGGAAGAAACAATGAATTCAGGTGATAATGGCACAACAATTTTCCAAAGCCAACACATAGCACGCGGACCACATCGAAATTCTCACCTTAAAGTCTCAATTTCGGTTGCCATGGTTTCATCAAGCCTTCTTGAAGCATTGCTAGGCATTCCATATCCAGGTTGAGGACGTCCCAGGGTTGGATGTGAAGCAGGTGGCGTAAAGATAGGCGAAGCATCTAATGAACGCTTGGGAAATTCTACTCCAGAACGCTGCCGTTCATTAAATTAACTATTATTCAGTAGCAATTTCACCTCACTTATCAAATGTACAGAAAGTTGCTACTCATGAATTAGCTTGCCTAGAAATTATGATGTGAAGACATAAATGCCACATTGGAGGCTCACAAAACAGATGTTTAACTTTGCCACAGTATTTCAAAGGCTCATCAACGTAGGTTCAAGTATAAGAATCATCAATTTGATGTCACTTGAAAATAAAAATAAATAAATGAAGAGAGAAAAGAAACATGAAACAAAAAAAAGATTTTGTAAATTCAGTTTGCCTAAAAATGGCAGCCAGAAATTCAATAATCATGACATGGTCAACTGCTTGATAATATGATTTGATAGAACCTAGGATCAGAGGATACTATTAGTCTTATTCTGATAACATTTAAAATGATTGGTAAAAGCAAGTAATCCATATAACACTCAGTTGTACATACCAAACCTAAAAGGGGAATATAATTTAATAAATTCTCGCAATGCTAAAAAAGAGATCCTGAAGAACGGAAAGATGAATGATGTAGCTAAATGCGTACCCTTAGTTCTTCATATGCCCAATAATATTGAGGATACTTTCCTCCGGGTCCACCAAATGCTTCTTGCCAAGAGTCTAGCAGGACCAAAATTTTCTCCCTCACTTGCATATCTGCCTGAAAGTTATATCCGCATGTGTTTTTGAGTCAGGTAAAATCTTCTAACTGGATAAATAGTAAACAAGATTAAAAAAGAAATGGAAGATAACACAATCCACTACCTAAGAATAAGGGTTTGGCAAACAATTGTGGAAATTGACCGCTCCACAGTAATCAAAATAAACGAGACTAAAAAATTCATGCTTCCAAGAATGGACATAAACATACGGACAATGTACATCATCCAAAACAAATATAGAAAACCAATCAATAGAGGTCCTCAACCTTTCTGGTAAATAAAAATGCATTGTAGCTTCTGTGACATTTTTTCCCCTGAAAGACTTGTTTCCAATGCATTACTACACTACATGCATCTAAAATTATACGTTCTAGCTTCTCATCTCTATTTTTACTTCCCAAACAAACTGAGTTATTCAAACCAGATGCATTAGCCATTGATTGCATGGATTCTTAAGCCATTTACAGTTTTTCCTATTTCCTTTAAATTTGAAAAGGAACATGAGATGCTCAAGGGGCACAACCCAAACTCAATACACAAAATCAAACAAAATACACTGTGCAAAGCGCAAACCTGAGAAACAATTAAGCCTAAGTTTTGATGCATCACCGAAATCTTTGACTACCAAACACTGTTGAGGAAGGATCAATTGGAGCCAGGTTTAACATGGTTTTCAAAATCCCAACTTAAAGGTTATACATATGGGGTCCTCTCCAACTTTAACAAACTCCTCAAGCCGTGACTGTGCCATGTATACCTAACTGAATGATTATTTGTCTCTTTTTTTTGGCTGAAGAATGATTATTTGAATTGAGTAAAAAACAGTTGTCCGCAAAAACCAAGCTCAATACTATCTAAACCACTAAACAACCGCCTGCGTGGCAGTTTGTCATAATTTCTGGCTAGTATGATGTGGACTTAAATACATTCAGTAACATTATTTGAGCACCGTAACATAAATCCTAATCTAATTAACAACGATGTAGCATTTTATACACTAAAGACACATATATTAGCTAAAAGAATAAGTATTAAAAAAACAAAAGAATAATAATAAAAATAACACCAAAACTAAACAAGTGGACTAGAGTCAATATCTCTTGTGATCAAACTCAAACAGACAACATGTTCAAAACTTACCTTCTTCTTCACAATTTTTATCATTTCCCCCAGTATATTCCTCTCAGCTATTTGAAAATGGACATAATCCCCACAGTTCTTTACCATTGTCTCCAAAAGCTACAAAGTTGAATTAAAAAAATAAATAAATAAAAAGTTGGGTGTGCTAAGCATTAAGCAAGACTCAGATAACAAAAATGAGGGAATCAAAACTTGAAGCAAAAACCCTTCAAAGAAAAAAAAAAAAAAAAAACTTGAAGCAAAAAAGTACCGTCAAAGAGAGTAGCTGAACTTTCGAGTTCTTATGCTGCAGTCTTCTTTTAAGAGCTTTTACAACATCTTTTGCCTGCCTGCATTGTTTAACACATACCCATCAATGAATAAAGAATATCTTTATTTTTGTCAAAAAAAAAAAAAACCTCATTGAAAAAAAATTACCAAAATTAATTATATTCTTTAAAAAAAGGTGCCCAAAAACTTTACCAAAACTAGAAGTAAAGAATGTTAAAAACTCAAATCCAGAATCACCAAGATACTATACAGCAACAAATACGATTCTACACAAAAGAGATGTATCTTTTATTTCTAAGATTAAAAACACTGCGTCTATAATCTATATTGAACCCAAAAATTTTTATTGCACATCTTAATATGAAATTCTGGTAAACTTAAGCTGCAACACTATTGAGAAAAGTCCCCCACAAAACAATAAGGGGAGAAAACAAATTATTTCTATTTATTTATGCTAAGACTACCAATATAATCCTCCAAGTGACTTATCCGTGATGACCAAAGAGGTTTTCAAACACAACATGAAGATTAAGGGGAAAAAACTAAAAATTATCGCTTCAAATTATAAAAACAAAATCAAACAATTAATACGCCTTTCTACTCAAAATTATAGCCTCGTGATCAAATTCCAAATTGAAAACAGCGCAGGAAGTATCAGACAGAAAATTAAGGCCGAAAGAAAATCAAAGTCAAACACCGATAATTTCCAAAAATAAAAAATAAAAAATTAAGAGCTTCAAGCTTGGGTATGGAAGCGTTTCGTTTTGTCAAAATTACCAATGATGAGAATTGACGGAATCGCAGATATCGATGTTCATGGTCCAATCAGGGCTTATCAGAAGATCGCTCGTCGCCTTCTCCACTGCTACCGTAGCTGAAGACGACGACGACGATGAAGACGCCATCGGCAACATCTTTCCCTCTCTCTCCTCTCTCTCTTCCTCTCTCTAAGTCTTCAACGATACAACTAAAACAAAACAAAAAAAAGAAAAAAAAAACCAAAAAAACAAACTTCTCTCTCTCACGCAGAAAATAAACTTCAAACCCGAACGATGAACCGGTGTATTCCACGCCTTATTTTCGCGGAAAATTCAGGTGGGCCATTATTGTGTGTTTGGACGGCTGGAAAATTCCGAAACCCTAGAAAAGAAAACAAAATATGCTTGAGAATTTTCTCGTTTCCTTGTTCTTCTTCTTCTCCTCTTTTCTTTCGCACCTCTTGCTCAATTAGAAAAAAAAAAAAAAAAATAATAAAGATAAAGAAGAAAGAAGAATACAAACAATTATTATATATTATATTATATTGTAATTTTTCTTGCCTTTTTGTTACCGAAATTTTCGTTCGTAGGTGTGCTTTACTTTCGACTTTCGTGTCGATGTTCTATTTCTATCCATATCTGTGATGAGCAATCCCGTTTAGTGTGCTTTTTTATTTAGACCGTTGAAACAGATTCTCCACGGGCAAATCGCACGTGTAATGCACTCGCCCAGGATTAAGAAGCATTGTTAAACGTGAGGGCGAGTAGGATGTTATTCCGTACGCAAAGCGAGTGGTAAAGTCCTTTTGCTTATTTTCTCTCGCCTTTCGGTCTAACTTCTGTTTAATTATTTAATTAATTACCGTTTGTTTAAGAAGGCTTTTTTGCATCGGTACCCTCACAACTAATTGGATTGGCAAACCAGTCCCTTCACTAAAAATATTGGCATTGGACCCTCAAATTTTGAAATCGTTCCATAATAAGTCTTAACTGAAAACGGTGTTTAAAATTTTTAATGGATTTTCTTCGCATGAAAAGCACGTAACTTTTAAAGGAGGGTGTACTAGTCTTTCTAATGAAATTATGAACTAACAAAAAAATAATAATAATAAATTAACATAAACCATAATAGAATTAGGAAAAAAAACAAAAACACTTAAAATAACATCGATTTCAATTTGCAAACTCAAATGTTGTTGTTGATGAACACGAATCATTGGTCGAAACTCGAAAGTATGGTTGCTGATTCAAATGATGTAAAAACTGATGATTGTGAGCAACCGGGTCTGCTTGAGAGTGTTAAAAAAAAAAAAAAGACTTTTGAAGCCGAAAAGATGTGAAAGAAACAAACTTGAAAAAAGACAACAACAAAAAAAAACTATCTCAAAGGCAATTGTTTTGACTTAACACAATTAGGGATGATAATTCATGTCACGAATCGTATTTTAATTATTTTTTAAAATTTACAGTCAACTAGAATACGACCCGTGATATGAAATTTTTTAAAAAGCCGCAACACGAACATGACACGACCACTTTATAGGTCGACACGACATGACAAAAAAATGACTCGTGACACGAAATTGACCAGTGAACTCAAAATTGACATGAAAATTATATATTTTTCTTTAATTTTTTACATACTAGAAATAACTTAAAATTCATAACACTAAAATACAATAACATTCATTAAAATTAAGTAAATAATAATTTAAGATTTTGAGTATAGCTATCATGATATCACAAGTTCATAATAAAATTTAAAATATGTAATGAAAAGTATATATATTTTTTAGTTTTTTATGAGTTTCGTGTCGTGTTCGGGTTAGGCAGGTCTAACCCGAAATTAACTCGTATTTTTCATGTCAATTTTAGGTCGATTTAATTCTGACCCGAACCTCTTTTTCTCAACCTTAATCCATAAAATTCGTATCATTTTTAAGTCGTGTTGTCGTATCGTGACCCATATTACAAGCCCTAAACATAGCATTAGTTGCGATTTTTTTTTTTACTTTTCTCTTTAGCTATAAGGCTTGGTTTTATATATATATATATATGCAAATCTATATGTAAATATATATAGATATATATATATCCCATTGAGGAAGGTTCAATAAAAGAAGAAATAAACGACTTTCAAAATCATCAACAATAAAATATAAAGTTTGCACAAAATTATCAACAAAATCTGCAGCTCCTAATGTCACTCCATTAAGCAAAAAGCCTTCACTAGATCAGCAAATTCTGTAGTTCTTCCAACGGCGTCATCTGACGGGGGCGACATTGCGACGTCGGAGATCTAGCTTCGGTGAGGGGAGGGGCTATTGTGACGGTGTCATCTAGTGAGGATGGAGCTGCTACGTCGAAGAGCCGCTGCGAAACTGACATCAAGTGCTGTGGGGGCGTTATGGTGATGGGAGGTGTAGAAATCTGTGCAAATAAGAGGGGAAATGGACATCTAAGGCAAGAGTTTTTGAGTGCATTTGGAACTCGTTCTAAAATAATTTTATCTTTTGTATAAAAATAAAAATGAAAACATTTTTAATCTCAGATATAAATCATTTTTAAAAATGTGTTTGGTAGTTTTATCAAGAGATTGTTTTCAATATAAAAAAACTTATTAATGTCTATCACTTTCTCTCTGTTCGAGAGAGGAGAAAAAGAAAACAAAAATAAAAAATGACTAAAAATCGTTTTTCATTTCTCTCTCATTTTACACTAAACTAAAAAATCGTTTTCATTTCTATTTTTTGTCTTTATTGTGCCAAACGCCGTTTTAAAAATGTTTTCATTTTTTTTTTCTTAAAAAATGTGAAAAATAAAAACAGGAATATGACATTTATTTTTAGCTATTCCCAAAATGAATTGAAAAGACCATTAATACTCTTAGGGTGCGTTTGGTTACAGTGACGGAATGGTAATGGGAATGGTAATAGGAATGCGCTGGAATCATAAACTGATTCCATTGTTTGATTGGAGTTATGGAATCAACACCTGAATGAGAATTATGCTGTTTGGTTGATAATGGAATGGAATTGAAAAAATTGTATTTTGACAAAAATACCCTTGATTAATAATCCTAAATAATTTAATATTTTAATTAATTAAAATAGTAAAAACATAATTTAATTATTGAAAAAAACTTTTTATTTGAAAGATAGTAATTTAAAAACTATATTTTAATTGTAAAAAAAATAATATTTGATATTTTTATGTAATAATAAATTATCACAAGCTTAAATATGATAACTTTTGACATCTACCATTATAGGCTCTGTGAAAAATATAATTTTAACCCCTGTCAATACAATTTTTATGCAATATTGTCACACTATAGTTTCTTAATAATTAATGCATACATAAATTTTTAAAAAAAATCAACATCTCATCCCTTGTAGATAATATCACTAAGTCATAACATAATATCACTTATAGTCAATAAAAATAAGCATAAAATCAACATCCACTTATGCCTGCAATCCTACCGTGGTAAAACAAAAAAAAAAAAGTGAAAACGAAGATAGTATACTTATGCCTGCAACACTTATGCTTGCAACATCCTACGGTGGCAAGTAAAGCATGAAAAACATGTTTTGAACTTGCCACACTTATGCCTGCAACATCCACGATTATATATATATATATATATATAATCAATTGAACTACGTATATACAATTGAGTATATATAATAACGTTGGAACAATAAAATTGAGAATTCAATTATCAAATTTCTCTCCTTTTGGACTACACAAAACCGAAATTGGGTGCAACAAATTCAGATAAATAATTAAATTCAGATTTGCCCGTGTCATGAATCTCCGTACGCCAACTACATATATAATTCCAAAATATAGTCATATGCTAAGTGAAGCAAGTTCCTAATTAATACAATTTAATAAAGTGCAGCATAATCCTAATTACTTACAATACCAAAAGAATCGGAGGCTCCTAAATATCACCGGCAAGCAAAGCTCTAGCCCACTCCTCTTTTTCATCACCAGGGATACTAAAAAAGTAAGAAACTAAAGCATCATCCGAGCTACCTTATGTCGTTCAAGTGCGGTAATGGTTGTGGTCCTTTGTAGCTCATCCCTAATCCGGCTATGTTTTTCTGTCATGTCTTCACTGATAGCCCGACTTAAACGTTCACTTGCCTTTTCAATAACACCATCAAGTAAAGCAGATGATGTTTCAATGGCTTCATAAGCCTCCGAGTCCTTTGTAGTCTTCCTTTTTCTTTTTGACGACCCTTGAGATTGAGCTTGAGTTGGAGGAATAGCCGATGCTTGTGAGAAAGACATTGGCTGCGCTTCATCCACAAAGGTAGTATTGTGAATGTCATTGACAAAATCATTGTCAATATTAATATCATCAGTTGATTCTTTTTCAAGTTCCTTAATTACATCAGCAGCAGCCTCGGCACCCATACCTGTTGCACGATCTTTGCCGAAAACCATACACAAGTCCTCATAGTAGGGAAAAGCCTTGGTCTTAAACGGTAACGCTTCCTTGTGACTCTGAATTTTAATACAATGAAACATTAGCATAATCCT